ACCGGAAATGACTATAACTTTTAATTTTTAAACGGCACCCTCGGTATATTTCTACTGTATTCGATAGAAAATGACACTCTGAATAGAATGACATATCATATGTCAACTTTTGACATTTTCGCATATGGTTTAATTGTAATTGTAACATGCGGTTCATAACGACAATTTGACTCGAAATACCAAGTGTGTGGTATCAATATATTCATAAAAAAATGCTTTTTCCAAATATGCTAATGAGTCACCCTTGTTCCATTTGAAAAAATTGACATGTGTATGATTAAAAATACGATTTGTACATCTTTTAACCGGCCTAGACAAGACACGAAACCTATTAGACGATCAAAACTATTTTTCCAAGGCTCCTTGAATCAAACTTAGTGTTTTTAAGAACAACATGGCACCCTGGATTGAAATTTAAAATACGATTTGTTTTTAAGCGACAATGTCAAAAGTTGACATATGATATGTCATTCTATTCAGAGTGTCACTTTTTATCGAATAAAGTAGCAATATACCGAGGGTGCCTTTAAAAATCAAAAGATGTAATCATTTCGGTGAAACAGGAAGAGACCAAAAATAATTGAATACGTCAATAAATCCTAATTTATGTCATATACCTACTAACTTACAAATTTGTTTTTTTATCTGAAAAAATAAAAAAGTTATAGGGGGTGAGCCACTTTTGAGACGACCCGGTATATTAAAAAATATTGTTTCATAATGTAATATCATTTTAAAATTCTTGTATGTTATTTTAGATTCTGAAGATAATTTTAGAATAAACCGGAATATATTTTTAATAAAAACATTATGATTTTGTTACAATGTAAGTAAGTAAATAATGTAATGTAAGAGAAAAAATTCAGATTTTACATTTTACTAAAATATTATCTAAATAAGCGCCTTTCTACAACAACGCCACTGACTTCCAATGGGTAAATTGAGAGTTGCCTACCGGTCAAAAGTCGTTTCAAGACTTAAATGGATTATTTAAGTCAAATTTCTTGTAAATTTGGCACTGGCGAACCATATTTTATAGTTCTTGAACAGAAAAAGTCAATGAAATAAACACTTAAGGACTACAAGCTAAGAAAATGCGTTAATACAGCCGGGGACATAGCGGCAACAAAGCTTTACCGCACACGTGCGACGCATACTACAAGGTAATAAATGAATGAATAGGCTCCCTCGCCTCTAATCGGTGTTGTCATAATGTCAAGAGCAAGAATTTAAGTATTTATCATTAAAATAAATCACCCAGTATATTAAATAAAATATATTTCTATAAACATAATATTTGCACAATGAAAATTAAACTAGAAAAAGTTGACGTCATACTAAGATCTGAAGGTGAACTTTGTTTAATTCTTATTGTTGTAAATATCAATATGAGAGAATAATTAAAAAGTAAATCAGAGGAGAGTCGAGGGCTCTCGGGGAGAACGAATGAAGAAGTCATGCTGTTCAGTTGAGTTGAGTTCTCCAAGTATCATAATGACAGTAAAGTAAGTTTATATTTTTTATATATTTTCTCTAAGTATATTTTATTGGTCAAAAGGTATTCTGCTTGACATTTCTCCTACCTAAATTAATGTATTTAATTCTTTAATAAATTTATATTTTGTTTTTATATATATTGATTGTTTTAATGATCTTCGATACCTAAAACGTCCCTAGCCGCAACCCTCTAAAACGGGGTCGCGACAATATTGTAAAGAACTTATCCTTTTTAAACAGTATCCGACTTATAATTTAGTAGTATAAGGGCTATTTAATACATCTATGGAATATTAAAACCTACTTTATTAAACTGTAGTATTAATATCTCAATATATGTGTATAACAAGAAAAAAAATATTGATAATATTAAAGACGTGACAACATAGGCTGGATGAGGAAGGCTCGGTCGACTGTACCCAGAAGTAAACATGTGTACAAAAAAGATTGTTTGACCGCGTTGAGATGTAAATAGTGTAGTCTATATTTTATTTTAAGTCTATGGTATATACCGTTAAGACCAGTAGGGCCCTCTACCGCTCCCGTCTAATACGACTTGCCTTGCGCGCCACAGTGCCGATTGTCCGTTCACAAAAAAGCTTAATCCGTTATTCTATAGATGTCGCTGGTTAATTGATTTGAGTTTAATTTTGGTTAATAAATAAGATGATCAGTACAATCGACCATCAGAAATTGTTCTAATAGTATCGAGCTTTTAAAACTCCAGAAAGTTATCCATATAGTTATTTTGGGAACCCCCGAAAAATCGTAAATACCGTTAAGAGCCAGTAGGGCCCTCTACCGCCCCCTTCTAATACGACTTGCCTAGCACGCCACAGTGCCGATTGTCCGTTGTCCAAAAAAAGCTTAATCCGTTATTCTATAGATGTCGCTGCTTTATCGATTTGAGTAAAGTCCCTAGATAATATAAAATACCGCAATTACCGCCATTTTGGCGCCAAAACTAGCGGGAAATTTAAAAAGGAGGCCAACCTTTCGCTGTTTCGGTTCGGCGCCAATATGGCCGACCAACCCTTGACAGGTTAGCCGTAAAATAAAGTATTATTAATTATGATAGAATTACCTTTATTATCTATAATTAAACATATCTACCTTCATTCTAACGTAATATCAGGTAATATATTAGTATTCGATTTTATAAATTTCATTTTTTTAGGCCTATATAAGTTAAGTGTTTATAAACGAACTAGTTGAAGCCTGGCGCATCCGCCACGACATCAGGAAAAAAAAGACTTTTTTTTTAATTAAATGAAAAACAAAAAATCCGGCGACGACAGTTTTTAGAAGAGCCAATTAGCTATCTTTTAGTAAAAAAAGCAACTTTCTAGAGCAAGTCGTTACTTCAGTAGAGACGACACAGATAAACAGCATTTTATATATTATGTAGATGGTTTCCATATAAGCATTTTTCATTTGTATTAGCATTTATTATATTATGTTAGCTTTTAGCGCAAAGTACGCCAACAGAAGTAAGTTAATAGGCAAGAAGAAATAAAGTTGGAATAACATTTTAGTACTTAATTTAGTCGAAACAATAGGAAAAACTTTGTTTATCAATGAGAAGGAGATACATATGCCATAAGTAAACCTTGCCTATACCAGTTATGCCGTACTTAGTTTTGGCAAATAAGCATGATTTAACGAAAGTCTTTGGAACTATGAATCTATAGGAATAAACTACAAACTTAAATTTGAAGAATCCGAGAAAATTTTGAACCAAAGTTGAAACAAATAAATGTAATATTTAAATTGATATGATACATACCTGCTATTTTTGAAATATAAGTATTAATATATTGATAGAAAGATTGTTTCAATTAGTATTACTTCAGGTAGTTTCGACATTTTAGATACGTAATTGTGCACTTCATTTAAAAATAACTTGGAAAGAAGCATGAAATGCTCCGGAGCTCATGTATACTGTATGATTAAGGTTTGTATGTTATGGAGTGATTTTTATACAAAAAATTGATTATTAATTGAATGAAAGCAAGGTAATACCACATAACACAATTAAAATATATTTTGCTCTGCAATTTAATGTTACATTTTTAAAACAACAAACTTCATAATGTTTAAGTATCATTATTATAAAAAAAAATATACTGCTATAAATTTAACATTAAAATAACTAATTGTTATGCATATATTAAGTAGGCATGATTTTAACTTGGCAGTATGTAAAACTTCAAATGAACCTTAACAATTTTATAATGTCATGTATAAAAATCAACTTTAAATCACACATTTTTATTTATAACTGATTTTATAAGATCAACTTTTTAAATATAACTTTACATACTTACATTATATTGTTTACTTTTTATTAGTAATTAAATAAAGCAGTAATTACAATATGAAACAAAAAATATTAATTACCATCAATAAATACATAAAAATTAATCTATTTAAGTCCATGAAAATAACTATATGCATAAACAACATTCTTAATACTTAGATCTGTAAGTTATTTCAGCTTTTTTTCATTGTTTTGACTAGTAAATGATTTGACATAGTCCTGACTAGTAAAACCACCTGAAGCCATGTCATCCAAATCTATGTATGTACCTTAGAGGTATGTACCATAACATAACTTAATCTTTTAGATAATTATCCATTCCTTTGGTCTGATGATAATATATTGTAGATTTATCTTAATTTCTTACTGCAAAATATTGAAAACTAAACTATACTAAACATTTTAGGGAGTGATTACGTATAGATTTTACTGGCACTTAGCATCCTTTTAAAAAGATATGTATGGTAGTTTGCAAGTAAGGTCTTTGTCTTGTTCTAGATTAGATTTCTGGAGGTGGCTCTAGGCCTGATCCACTGCAACCTTCTCAGATCTATTATTGTGGTCTTATCTTGTTCTATAATGAAGTTTTATGTACTAATGGGTTATAAGTACTACAAATAAGATTGTTAAAAATATTCACTGGGGCATAAATACATTCAATCCACTACCTAACGTGTATTGAATATCGACGATGTTGAAAATACATCAAATGGCGGTCTTTTCTTGTAATACACATTTCTTCACTAAATATATCGACGCTTATACATTATTAACTCATAAATTTGTAGCATTTTAGTGGCTTTATAATTATTTTAAAATATGTGGATAAATATTTTTATTCTGAATTTGACAGCGGATTTCCCCCGGCGGCTCTCAAAATGTGGCAATTTATTTTTAAAACTTTCAAAGTTAAATAACTCGGTTATTTTCAATTTATTTTAAAAATGGTAAAGAGAAAATATGTTTCTTTTGACCAGATCTACCACCCCTTAAAATATTTGCACTCATTACTGGGACACCCTGTATATGAAAGGAACAAAATTCTTACAGCTTTAGTGTATATTAATAAGTAATATTTTCTTGCCTTTAGCTGTGTATTTTTTCTAATTTCGAAATATCGAAAGCAGAGAAAAAAAATCATTTCATAATAATTCTAATTAGGTATTAAAAGAATAGTACCTACCTATCTGACAAAGGCTCTAAAAATACAGGATCGCTAACAGGTAAAGAACCAGGTTTAATGATTCGATGACCATTCGGTTTCAATGCAATGTCTTGAGGATCAAAATGATCAGAACAAATATGTGGTATTTTCGGCAAACGTTCATTTTCTGCGACACCAACAATAGAATACCATTGGTTTCTTATTAGCGGATCTGCGGGAAACCTAAAATATTAAAAAAATATAATTATAATTGTATGATACATAGAATGTAAACTATTTCTTTCATTTCCTCTATCGATGGCGTAAAAATTTAGATTGATTTTATTTTATTTTTGGAAAGCCAGAACATTGCAACATTTACTGAGTTGCAAATACAGAATGTTCTATTGCCATAGAATGTGGAATGTTTAGGAGGGGAGTTAATCCCCGCGACCTTATAGATCTATTGTGTGTTCCCCTTTCTTGAGTTATAACGAGTTATAACTCATCATACAGTCTCAGGGCTTTAACTAAAGCCAGTATCTGAGACGGCTCCACAGCGGCCAGCTCTCCATCCTCGACATCAGACGTACCAAAAATCATGGCACGAATGGTCGTCGTCTCGGCGCACTCAGTGATAAGGTGTTCTGGTATTTCCCCATTTTCCCCACAGAATCTGCATTCGCTGTTGTTTCTCAGCTTCAGCCTACTGAGGTGTTCGTTGAGGAGACAGTGTCCTGTTAGAAACCCCGTGACAATCCGAAGATTGTTTTTACTTAAATCAAGGAAAACCTTTGATTTTTCTCGGTAGTAAGTTCTGAGGAACTTTTTCGAGTGTCTTAGACCGTTGGAGGACACCTTTGGAGGACACCTATTCCAAGTTACGGATTGAGTCTTCCCAGATTCTTCAGTTCCGCTTTCAGTTGGTTCCCGTTTGGAAAACAGAACGGTTCTGGTCCAGTTAGTGGAGTGTTCGCTCATTTCGTAGCTAGATCATTTGCTTTTTCATTGCCTTCTATCCCTTGGTGAGCAGGCACCCAGAGTAGGAGGACTTTATTTTCTTTGCCTAATTTGTTGAGCTTCTCTAGGCATTCTTTGACCAACAATTGATGGTTACTGAGTTGATCGCGTTAAGTGCTTGACTATCGGATAGGATGACAATTTTCTGTTTTCGATAGTTCCTATCTAAGATAAATTGTAAGCATCTTTCGATAGCGTAAATTTCTGCCTGAAGGATACTGGGGTTAGGTTGTAATAAACAACCAAACCAAATACTCCTATCCCTGTCCCTGCTTTGGTTTTGGAAGCATAGGAAGTATACCACGTGATGGTATGGTCTTTTATATGCTGAGTAAGCGTTTCTTTCTTCCAATCCTTTTTATTACTCAATACTACAGTGAGGTGTTTCTCAATGTTGTAAATTCTTGGTATGTCATCCACTGGGAGTTGGAGAAGTGGAATTTTCTTTTTGAGGGTGTTCCAAGCCCCTGACCTGAAAATTCTCCCAGTACTCCGTCAATGACCATTCTAATCATTGTCGCATTGGCATAACTACCGACGACAATATGCAGTGGTGTTAGGTTTAGAATGACCTCCATTGCTGCTGTTGGACATGTTCTCATGGCACCTGTGATGCAGATACATGCCAGTCTTTGTTCTTTGCACAGGTTTTGCCTTGCTGTACGTTGCTCTAGTTTTGTAAACCAAGCAACTGCTCCATAAGTAATCATGGGTCTTACTATCATGGTATACATCCAGCGCAAAATGTTAGACAAAATCATGAGAGCCTTTGTGGCTTTGCTGGTAATGTTCTTAATATGCCTGTTCCAGAGAAGTTTACTATCTGGGGTTATTCCCAGATATTTCACTTCCTGTGATGGCAGTATTTCCTTTCCATCTATGGATTCTTTTCAAGTTTTTCAAACTTCGCTTTCCGGTGAATGGCACTACCGCGGTTTTATCTGAATTAATACTCAGCCCGACAGTCCTGCACCATCTCTCAGCGATGCGGGGTCCTCTTTGGATAATATCACACAGAGTGCCTTCATGTTTCCCCCGTGCAATGATGACTATGTCATCTGCATTGTATGCAGTGTATTCCCGCTAGAGTTAATTCTTCCAGTAGAGTTCATCCACACCAAGCTCCACAGTAGGGGGGGCTCTATTGCCATAATCATGGGTGAGAATCTTTCCGGTAATCCCGCTAGCGGCTGCGATTCGACCCATTTGTCATCAATTATGAAACCAGTCCCACGCAATCTCTGGCTTGTCTCCATGATTTGATTGACGTAACTCGCCGTCGAATCACAACCATCCAAATGGGCAGAGATCAGCGTTCTTAGTAAACCAATTTTCCTGGCAAAGCTTTTCTTGCTTTTTTGAAAAGTTTTTGCAAAAACTTTTCCCACAACTCGACTGTTTTCTTCGCGTCCTTAATATGAACATTTATATGCCTTATGGACGTGTCGATTGTTAAAATCAATTGGGCCTTTGCCTTGGCGTCTTCTGCTTCCAGAACTTCTGATACACATTTGGAGAAACCTTCCAAAATCAAAAAATTCTCGACCGCAAACGCCCACTCTTCATAGTTCTCCCCGTCCCTTTAACTTAGGAACATTAACTATAAAATTTCCAGCCATACTTGTGTTATGTTACATTAAACACTACGAAAACAACCGAATTTAAACCGTTTTATGCCAAACCAAACCAAACCAAACTCGACGTACTGGGCCCATAACCTGTTAAAAAAGGAGCCGTCACGAAATAAAACTCATTCGTTGGATTCTCAACACAGACTAAATTTATTGTCCAAAACATCTTACAACTAAAATACCATAAAAGTAACAATAAAAAACATACAGCCCAACTTTCCCAGCACAAACATTGTTTAAATCCTTGGCAAGTAAACAGTATAGTCGCATCCATGGATACCGGAGGTCCCGAAATTGTCGTTGCTAGTGATTCTTTTTTCTTTTTAAGTTCTTTTACTGTACACTGCAATACGATTTTTATGTTCTTTATATATCTTTGGTCATCCATATGAAGGGCTCATTTTCGTATAAATCCATAACTTCCAAAACAACATCATTTGAAGACTACAGGGGAAAAACTAGCTTTGTCCATTTTAATTGGAGCCGAGAAAAATGCAATTTCGTGTTGTTAAAGAAATATGTTATTTTCGGTTGAATGATTAGAAAAATATATATTACTACCAATTCTGAATTATTAATATTGTTAATTATCGCCATATTCTGAAAGGCTGTATTTAAACTGCCGTTAAACGGTTGCTTACTAAAATGCCGTTAATAGGTATGACGTCGTTAATGTGACGCACTTGACGGTTTTATGAAATATAGGAATTTTATAAGGACTAACCAACGCTATCCACCCCACCAAATAACCAACTTAACCAACGCAACTAACCTCGACAGTGATAAAAAAATATAAAAAACAAATATAAATTAGTACCAACTAACCAATGAATTAACACCCTCCAAATAACCACGCTAACCAACCCGCCAAATAACTAAACCAATCCAACCAAAAAGAGTGAAACCAACGCAATAAGATCACGTTATAAGCAAAAAATATATAAAAAAGTCTTGGTGGGCGTGAGATTTGAACCACGGACCATTCGCTCACGAACCGATAGCCTCAGCCACGGAGCCACAGGTGCTCTTGCAAAATGCTTATAGCTAGGCATTACTTTCCGCCGACATGAACGACGTCACAATATCTATTAACGGCATTTTAGTAGGCTACCGTTTAACGGCTGTTTAAGTACATCGATTCTGAAATACCGAAATAAAAATGTCAAAATGCAAAACAAAACAGGGGAAAAACTAGGGATGTCCAATTAAAGGTTGAATAAAACCTAACCTAAACTATTATTTTTTTGTTGAAGGAAGAAAATTAACATTTAAGTAGGGTTTTATTAGAATACATAAATTTACTACATGTAATACTAATTATTGCAAGATGCATGCTTGTCGCCCATTCGTAAGGATATATCTGGTTTTTGCCATTTACTCGTAGACTACTCTGGTTTTTCCCTTGTAAGGCAAAATAACCAAACTGTAATATCTCTGGGACTAAGCGTAGGAATTGCTTTTTTTTCTCGAATGACCTATAAAGTTGTATCGCTATCTTAATTTCCATGAAAATGTGACATATCTAGTTATCCCGTGTAGTCTTCATTTGTCCACCCTATTTGTTGTTTATTGCTGAAAGAACGATTAAGGTATGTCGCCAATAATTGAAGTTATTAATGTAAATTTGATATTAGGCATATAATCTATTATTGCTTTAACGTTTTAAATTATCCGCAATTAGCTCGAAAAACACTACCGACCCGGAAAACAGGACATATGCTATAACAGTACAATTATTTGCGCAGTCGTTTGAGCGCCTCGGCAAGTATAGTCAAGGCTGGCCGAGGCTACACTTGGCAAGTGTACGAATAATTGTGATCCTTTTGACTCGGGCTATGTTTACCGACAGAGAGTGGGAACCATAGAATAATTAACTGGCGGGAACGCGACGAGTGACCAAGGAAACCGTTCTCACGACATAGCAAGTATATATAGTTAACAAATATTTGTCAAGTAATAGCAAAAAAAATAGTAATAACAAATGTTTGTCAAGTACACGAGTCGTGAGAATGCGCCTTTAGAAGACAAGGGTTGAGAGTCACCCATAAATTTTATGCAACACAGTGGCGTGTACAATATTTTGGGCTACATTTTAACAATATGCAATATTATTTTCAAAAATTTCATAGAGCAATTTTCAGTTTGTCATTTTTAGTAAAAAATTTTAACTAAAATGTTGTTAACTTAAAAACATATTTTCTGTTAGATAAATTATTAATGGCGCAATGAGGGTGGATCACCCTGTATATAGCAATTACTAAACAACTAAGTCTAAGCAAAGCATATTATCAAAAAAATACATGAATAGAAAAAAATTAAGACATATTTCTATTTTTGGATTTATTTTCTAATATTTAACCCAATTTATAGATTTTAGGGGGAAAAGATCCCCCTCCGTATCCGCCTGGATACGGGGGCTGTCCCAAATTACAAAATTTTCGAAAAGACCCTGTCGTTCAGTAAAGAAGGGGGCTATGAAAATTTAGTTTACAGCATCTTTCGTTTGATAAAAAAGTGGGACAGGTTTGTGCAAACCGCATCCTCCTATTCTTCTACTAATAACTAAGATACCGTATAATTTCAACCAAAATGGAACACCCTTTACATACTTCGCCATCTAAACAAGCCCTCGGAATACTTATTATTTATAAACTTATTCATATATCCATATACTTGTATGTTAACTCATCTGCCAAGTTATTAAAAAATCTAGTACTAATTTTTACAAATATACCTACTTCGTATAATAAAAGCAACATTTTTAATAGAGTAATATACCAATACCACGCCAATACCATGAAGTCTCTAAATAAATTGTATGTATAATTTATTCTCACAACTTGAACTCTTTATTGGTCTACCCCCAACTTTTTATACTTACTAATACTACTAAATAGTACTACATTATTTAATATATTATATTTATCAATTCTTTAGTCATTGATATTTATTTTATGAATATCTTATGCAACCAAAGATTCACTAATGTGAATAAAAGCAATATATATTAAATTTATAGTATTAATTATAATACCGTATGATCGAATAAAAACGGCGTCGAGTTGGCTTGGAAATGACGATCGATGACATTTCCCATATAAATTTACATATAAAATGACAGCGATCTTCAATTCATAGCCATCGCTGACGCCGTTTTTATTCGATCATACGGTATAACTTAGTTAATTGAGTAAACGATTAAATATAACTACTGTGTTAGTAATTGTGGTATTATATAAAAAATGGAGTTTTGATAATTTCAACATTTTTAATAAAATAAAATTCTTAAAGAAAAATAAAAATATATCGGCAACATGGCACGAAAAATTGTAAACAAAGATGACCGATTTATCGAAGTGTGTACGGAAGTATCAAGGATCAAGGATTATATTATTTTTAAGTATTATAACAATTGATGCAGATTGATGTAACAAAATATTGTTTTTCGGTGACACAAATGTGATTTAATGACTTATATATTGAAGGCTATAGGTACATCTATAGGTATGTATTTATTAATAAAATAGGTGAATTTATGGAGTTCCACCCGTTCCATCGCAGAGCCTAAATGTTATACATATATATGTTATATATATTTTATCCATATTTTGTTCTTTATAGATTAAACAATGGTAAAAGTGTGTGTGGTGCCAAGTTGCTTGAATAGATGGAAAAATAAAGAGCATATAAAACGCCACAGGATATCTTTTTTCCAACCTACGGTATGTAAAATACTAATAATAACATGTAATTAATATGTAAAATACATAAAAATAGAGTCAATCAAAAGTGTAGTAAAAATTTTTCGTAAGATTATTGATATACAAAATATATTTTTACAACCTCGATAAATTGTATTTATAATGATTTTAAAGTTTGACAGACCTGCACAAGTTGTTGGCATTTTTTTAAAGAAGTAAAAGTAGGAAAGACATTAAAAATTGTACTTTTCAGAAATATATTTTACTATAAGTGTTGTATTGTTTTAATAATTTATAATTTTAATGAAAATCACCAGGATAATATTAAGTAGGTATTGATTTTCAGACAACAATTAGATTACAGCGATGGTCGAAAGCATTAGGTATTGTTTTGAAATCTACAGATAAGGTATGCCAGTTTCATTTTAAAGAACAAGATGTTAAATTTTATGATAAAATTGTCATTGGAAATACTGTCCACTTACAGTATTTACATAGGAAAATATTGAAGGACAAAGCCCTGCCTACAAAGGAATATCAGTTTAATTTAAATTCTGAGTTGCAACAACAGCAACAAGCAAGACAGGAACCAATAAATGAATATTATACACGTAAGTATTATTATACACGTAAAGAGTAATATGATACACATAAAGATCAACATTTTGTAGAGCAACAACAGCATCAATTAACAGAAATAATAGACCCTATTGCTCAAATCAAAGACAAAATTTCAGCATTGCCACCTTATTGGTTTTATATTAATAAACCTAAAGAAATTGAGTTTATGCGATTAGATCCTACAAGCAAGCAGATCGTAAATCACATAATTTTAAACGAAAATCTATCTATTATAGTATGTATAAACATTTTGTATCTTTTATTCAATGTTGTAACGAATTAACAAATTGCAGGTAGTTTATTCTAATAATGAAAAAAAAGCCTTGGATGAAAAAATAGTTTCTTCTGATGAGGTTTATGAATATTTAAAGTCTGTTGAAAAGTGGCCATTATGTGTTGGTACACAATTTGATAAAAAAAGGTAACATGAAAATTTTTTCAGCAACTTAACTGTACAGGGTGGCGCCTCTCATAGGACGCAGAGGCTGCAAGGATAACTACAGCTTATATTAAAATAAAATTTTGTGAGCACATTTTTTTAAAAATATAGAGAGTTCTACAGAGTGTCCCCTAAAAAAGTTACACGTCAAAGTTGTGTTTTTTGTAATGGAACACCCTATATATACAGGGTGATCCGAACTGTATTCCGGAAACTTCGGCAGCATATTCTGCAGATAAAAATATGTAAAAAAGTTCTGCAGATAAAAATATGTAAAATGCTTAGTTTTGGAGATACAGGGTGGTGAAGTTTCATTTTTATTTCGATTTTTTCCAAATAATTTCTGAAGTAACGTCAATATTTGGATGAAAATTAGTGTCTGTGTGTTTTTTGACATGAGAAATTTGATTTTGATGTTATTATGACTCCTATTTGTAGAGGGCGCCACCTACATGTGTTTTAACTGTTTTGGAGAGTAATAACTTTTCGTCCGTACCTGTATAAAACTACTGAGTGAAAAGATATACATTTCTGTGATTTTTTACGTCAAAAATGTCTCTTGGTAAAAGTCGCTACGAACAACCGTTCTCAAGATACTTAGAATGGAAATAGTCAATACATGTCATTATTGACAAAAAAATAAGCATGTTGAGTATACAGATATTTGACTGAAATGATAAATTTGGGAACTTTTTATTTTTTTTAAATTAATCTTAAATTTTTCTGAGAAAAAATGATGATAAAGAACTTTTAGCACAAAAACATTTCAAATTTATGATTTCAGCCTAATAACTATTTAGTCAACATGCTTAATTTATGACAAAGATGACAGGTTTTGATAATTTCGATTCCAAATATCTCGAGAACCATTATTCGTAACGATTTTTACTAAGAGACATTTTTTACGTAAAAAACGTTGTAAATGCACATTTTTTTACTCAGTTGTTTTATACAGGTACGGACGAAAAGTTATTACTCTTCAAAACAGTTAAAAATATGCAGGTGGCGCCCTCTGCAAGTAGGAGTCATATTGACATGAAAATCAAATATTTCATGTCAAAAAACTCCCAAACACCAGTTTTCATCCAAATATTTACGTTACTTCAGAAATTATTTGGAAAAAATCAAAATAAAAATGAAACTTCTACACCCTGTATCTACGAAACTAAGCATTTTAGGACATGCATTTATACGAACTTTTTTACATATTTTTATCTGCAGAATATGCTGTCGAAGTTTCCGGAATACAGTTCGGACCACCCTGTATATTAATTGATTTTCGGATTCTAGGAGAAAAATACTTAAAGGTGAGTTTTGTTAGAGAAGGATATGGCTAAAATGTAAGAATTTTCACATATTTTAACAATTTTTAAAGTTTGTTCTTCAAATTTTAAAATTTCAATAAATGCTACCTAAATTATAATTTATCAGGCATAGCGTATTATGTAGTTAAGATTTATCCCGACAAGTTATACAGGGTGAGTGAAAGGCGGTATAAAAAAGTTAAAGCCCCTTACCCATTTTATTACTCGCAGCAAGAGCTTTATGGTTGAAATATGGCAACCTCGGCCCGTCGATAGACGACGCGACGACGGGACAAGTCGGCAGAAAACCCTATAAGTGCATGCGTTCTCAATAGGCAGTGTTGCCATTCTGTACCCATATAAGTAACTGTCCAGTTAACAACCTGTATAGGGTGTTCTATTACAAAAAATACAACTTTGATGTGTAACTTTTTTGGGACACCCTGTAGAACTCACTATAATTTAAAAAACTGCTCTAAACTAACCTACATATGCTTACAAAATTTCATTTCGATACCGTCTGTCATTATTACCGTCGTTCTTCTTTGAGCCTCCGCGTCGTATTAGAGGCGCCACCCTGTATAATAAAAAAACATCACCAGCAATGTATTTTTCACTTTTTACCGGTAATTTTTATTAGATATTCTCAAGAATGTAAAGGAGTCGTCATTGGAGATGATGCTTATCAGAGACATCAAATGAATCCACGTTGCATGTCTTGTGCAGTTCTTCGTCTCCGATTTCAGAAGCATCGACGTCTTCAGTCACATCTGAACAGTAATCAACATTTACAGACAGTGTAAAGGGTTAAAAGAAGCAGTAAGTTTGTTTTACAACAAATTACCCTGATTTTTTTATATTTATTTCCTGCATGTGTAATTTAATTCCAATTTCGTGACCAAAAATGTTTAATGTGATTAATACTTCTAACATACTTTTCATAATTGAATGTAACGTATTGTAATATCTACCAACAGCAGGGCTGGGTTCAGTTATTGAGGATGTTATTATTATAGACATAATGTGAATATAAAATTTATATCTGTGAACATTAAGAACGAATAATTTTAATTAACATGTTACAGCTTATATATAAAAATATATATACAAATATCGTATTAAGTATTTATTTTTTCTACAGGATGTGAGATACTTGATTCAAGATGTCATGGAACCGCACCAGAATTCGCGCTCGCGAGTTCATAAGTATATCTGGATTAAACTGGGTGAATAGTTCTTAGAGTTGACCATTTTTTGTATTATTATTATAATTTGTACATTTCATGTTGAATACAGCAATTTACAATAACTCAGCATTGCATTTCAAATATCTTAAAAAATAAAAGTGTATAGATTGATACAGGAAATAAGATGCCAGTTACCTGTGTAGTTCGCCAACTCTACGAATACGATTTGACAAGAAAATTTTGTCTATCTTTGGTACAGATTAGAAAGTAGACTCACTCTAAAACATTCAATTATCAGCTCCACAAGTCTTTTCTAATTACAACGGTTCAGACATAACCATCATCTTTCATGAAGTATGTGTAATATTACATAACTTCAAATCAGTTCTGTAATTAATGTAATTGTGATAATTTGTAAATTTATATTGATGTTGACTTAATTTTTATATATGACTTAATTTTTATACTAAATAAATGTATGTTATTTTCGATCTGCATTATATTTATTTAAAATCCATCACCAATTAATTACTTAAAATACAATTTTCCTAATAATTATAATTAACATTAATTTTAAGTTAAAACTATCACAATGAGAAATAATAAAAAGAGGGCCAGTCTATTGCTTCTGAATAAAATATCGATAATCTATTTCATGACATAATTATCTCTTTTGAACCATTTCCTCTTTTAAAAATGTTCGCTTCTTTCAAATTTTTAACTTTTTTTACAGCAGCGCCATCTTAAGTCTTCCCTCTTTTATGACCACTTTTCAATACACGAAGATTATTTTTTCCTTTCCTCTACCCTCCATAGTAAAGGTGTTACTCTCTAGTGTTGCCAGACTAGGCCATTTTGAAGTTGCTTTGGCGACTAATTTAAAAAAATATCGCATGGCGCCATTGAGCGATTTGGGTTACGAAACTTTTGACACCAGTGAATTAATGGGCAACACAGCCCCTGACATTCAGCGTAGAATTTTCGCTGACTACCATACGATATTCCCTAAACGGCACAGAACAGCAGAAAGAACAAGAAACAGTAGCTGTCTCATGCGCTCTCTGTCTACTACAAAAATTTGAGAGAAATATAAATAAATCGTCTTCGTCAAATCGGTCTATAATCGATCTTTAGTCTTTAGAATAAAAATTATTTTGAATAAAGAATTATTACTGGCTGATCATTTAATAATTGAAAATATATTATTTGACAATACAGTATTAAACATTAAATTTCTAAAAAATAACAGTTTATAAATAATTTTACCTATACACCTACAAAACAACTTAAAATAAGAGGAACTAGCAGTTCGACCAAGTCACCTTTTACGCATTTTTTTTCGATGGTATGGTATAAATAAAATTACTGAAGGTGTAAATACCCTACAATAAAAAAAAACTTCAGGGGTGATGTGGAGGTGAAGATCGCTGTTATTTTATAAGTAAACTTATATCGGGAATATTATCGATCGTTATTTCTAAGCCAACTGGGCGCAATTTTTTTTTCGATCAGACGGTATAATTACAATCAAAAGTTATTTATGCTGATTTAGATTTTTTCAGAAAGTAGTATTTTTTTAAATTTCATTTTATTTAGAAAATTCGACTTGAGATGGAAATGAAGTTGAATTTTCTTTATTTCTTTAACTTCTTCGATCTCTATTTACAACTCTGTCTTTTTCGAACGTTTTAGAATAACCTACTGCTTTGTAAATTTTTGACAACAAATATCTTCTATTTTTTAAGGATACGATTAACTACGATTGACTACAAACTTCAACAAGCCATAAAATGTAAACAATAAACTGAGAAAATTAAAGTTATTTTCAATGACTAAAGAATCCAAGGACAAATAACACCCGAGAGCAAATTGTGCCGATGTCACCAAACAGTGCCGTGGCACATATTTTTCTTAACCTAGCTGTTTGAAGCAATATTTATATTTTTTGATAATTGTTTTTACTACGCCTATGGTGTATCATTCTAATTAATTACGAAACAAACGTATTAAAATGTTAACAAAAGGTATAAAACTAGTATCGACGTATAGCACATATCAAGTACATATAGATGTTAATTGAAATTAAAGAATAATTATCGAATTCAATAAGAAAACGCTAAAAAGTTGGAGTGGACTGTTAATTTACTTATGAAACGTAACTTCTGGCTCTTTCTTATCGCTGCTGCTTTTACACTTGAAAGCTGAACAACTAATCACCATTATAATAAAGTTTATACAAAATTTACTACCCACAAACTATTAAAAATCGCTAAAATTGTCGCTGGTGACCAAATGATGACTCATTGTTTGCCACCAAAAGAAAGGTCTCTAAGGTCACAAATTCTGCTGCAGCCCGTATAGAGGCGTTACATGTCTTTATATTCTTTAGTCATTGGTTATTTTACATTAGTTGACCACAGATAGGAAATAGATTAAGGCTGACTTGTCTCAGGGTGCATCCACACCAGAGAAATAGAAGGGATAGAGAATGAGCGTCAACATGCGCAGAAGGTCTAATCAAGTTGGGCGCCATATTGCAGGTTTTCGTGTCATTTTGTATATAGGCGGTAATCAGTAAGTAATCAAATATCAATTTGCTCTTTTCAACCATACGGGGGGCAATTTAAATTTAGTGAAATTCTATCATTTATTATGGTTAGTTAACATTAATATGATTTATTTAATTATCAGTTTCAAAACTGCGTACAATATTGGTATATGATACACTAAATATACGAATATTCTGACAAAAGACGCTACGGACAGATGACCTTTTCGTCGTTAAATACTCGAAATGATATTAAATAAGTATTTACAATATTTCATGTTTACTTGTATTGAATTACGAGTTTCAATTTAAAATTTTTGCAAATTTGGTAAAAATTGTTCTAAACAACTTTTTGTTCAAGTTGTATATTCATAAAAAACATTTGGTTCATAATTATTTTTGATGATTACCTACCTTGTATTTTTAATATAAACCTAGAAAAAATATGTTTTTGTTTTATTTTTTTTATTCGTCCCTTCAAATTGTGTTTCAAAAACTGTTACATAACATGTCCTCTAACAAATATTTTCATAATACATAAACATCATTGATTTTATTAAGGGTATTATTATTATTAGTATTTATCCTGGTTTTTGTCGACAATAAAAACTCAATCTTGTAATAGAACATCAATTTTATATTTCGTAAAATTATTTTGATACAAATTCAATTTGTCAAAATTCAAGTCATTAATATATTGATAAACAACCCAAATTATTCCTAAATATTTTATTATAAAAAAAAAACTGTTACCGGTAAGTTTGTAAAACACATTATGGTTTGTCGTAATACTAGAAAAAATCATTTATTTTTTGCACAAAAGAAGCTTGTCGATCCTTATTTGTCCATAACAAAATTCTGTATGTACAACATACATATACCTAATTTATTATTAAGAAAATTAGATTATATGATCTCAGAATTTTAAGAAAATTTTATTTATTATATTGGAATTATTGTTATTGAATACATGTTGGTATTAAAGAACTGGACAAATCGCAAGGTCATAATTCATATAGAATAACAATATGATAAAAAGTTCATTAAGTTTTGGAATAAGTATGAAATTATGCAGTTGAATTTGTAATAGTCAATTTAATACGGAAATTCAAATAAAATATATATTCTGGAAAAACACCCCTGCACTATTCAGTAAGTTATCTATAATAAAGTTATGACTATTTTTAACAAATTTGAAGATTTTACACCACATTTATTCAAAAAAATGTCGAAAATGTAGAAACGAACGATCGCATTGTGATCGATTCATTTCTCACGATTCTTTTTTACGGCTCATCGTTCAAATCTTATGGATCCGTGCTGGCCATAATTCAATTGAACGAACAGTATTGTAAGCAATGAATCAATTCTCACGACTCTTATGGATCCGTGCTGGCTGCGATTCAATTGAACGAACCGTATTCTATCAGTGAATCGAATCACACGATTCATTTTTAATACTCGTTCAAATGAACGACTCGTTCAATCTTTGCCCACCTCTATTTCATAGTGCACGAAACATCGTCAAAATATCATGAAAAGATACATTCCGAGTTTCACAGCCTCCTAACTCACATGGGGCCCGAGTTACGACGCTCCAAAGATCCATCCCAACTTCCTCATTAGCTTACAACTTTTTAGATCGTTACCACTTTTCCTCTCGCTAGCTGGTGTGTTGGCTTGTGTGTCGCGGCCTTGAATTTTTACTCCCATCGCGCGTAAAGAAGTTTCACCTCAAAAAACAATTAAAAACCATCGTGTTGTGTGCTGTACGCAGTTGTAGGAGCAGGAAAGGTATCGACTCGAAGAAACTCACTTGAGCAACGTTTCACAGGTAGCATAAACAATGTACAAGTCCGTAATGATCGAATTAACCAATGAACATTAATTTAGTATTTTATGCCTATTTTAAGTTGGGTGTAGTAAGGCCAAGTAATTTGATCATTGCAATATACAAATATCTTATGAGAACTTAATGTACTATATTATAGATTGATTTTTATCTACCTCAACAAGATTGTCAACCTTCCTAACATTAATGGCTAGGTTGTCACGCTTGGTCGGTGCCAACTGAGCGCCAATATAAACGCTCAGTTTGTTTAGTTTTAACCATTCTGATGATGCTAACATGGTTAGCGAAACGCGCATCCAGTGTTTAAAAGTGTTTTCATGTATTGTGGTGAATTAGTGTTTTTTTTTGTTGTTTAACACCTTTGGTGATACCGAGGGTGTTACATTCTCCCTTTTACAAAAAATCTGGTTGGTTTGGTTTGGTTTCCGTAGGTTCTCATTTTTACTTATGATATAAAACGTAAAAGAACCAGAAAATTTTACATTAGCGGCAACATCGCACAAGATCAAGTATTTGCGCCAGCAAAACATGGATCGTGTAAACGCCGCTAAGCGCATTTCTACAGCAACGCGACTGACGAAGACGCTATAAAATAGTAAAAAGTCTTACCGGTGGAAACTTGTCCCAGGACTGTGATAGTCCAATTTTTTGCAAACTTGGCACTGGCGAACCATATTTTATAGTTAGTGAACGGAAAAAGTAAATAAAATAACACTAAAGCACTACAAACTAACTACTGGGGATACCACGGCAACAACGCCCTAGCATCCACGTGCGGCGCACAACTGAATGAAAATTAAAGGATCTACGATCGCGCTCTATCTTCTATGTCCCACTAGTGAACTCGCATACCCAACAATGTTGCCGTTTTTTGTCGACTTATTTTATGAACGGTTCACATAATATCGTAATCTTGGAAATGAACATCGATGAAATTTATTTGGTTAATAAATAAGCGAAATGAATACCAGTATTTCTAATAGCAGTGTTTGCTGTGACTGTATTGACTTTTATTATTTATTAGATAAGTTCCCCAGCAAATAAAATGCGTATTTCTTTATCATATTAACGCATGAAAATGAAAATACTTCCTACAAGTGTACATATTTTTTTGTACCGTTTTTTTGCTCTCCTGTAAAATTAGGAATAATGGAGTTAGCAGCTTATCACATTTCACCGATGATATTAAATAGTATCAGAAAAATAATTAACAAATTCAATAAGAAAACGCTAAAAACGTGAAGTGGACTGTTTATTTACTTATGAAATGCAACTCTTTCTTATCGTTGCGGCATTTACACTTGAAAGGTGAACACATCATCATTGTAATAAAGTTTATACAAAGTTATTCACTACATATAAGAAATTATTAAAAATCGCTAACGCTGTTGACGAGGTGGTGACTGTTGACTCATCCGTAGGCTCCAACATGATGGCGTCTAACGTAACAAATTCTGCTGCAGCCCGTATATGGACGTTACACAGGGTTCGGAAGTAGTTAATTAAGACGTAATTTACCTGATTAACTACGTGTAGTCTATCTTCAAAAACTACGTATTTTTCCGTTCATTAACTACATGAAAACTACGTTAATAAACCATGTATTGATATTATGAATAATTTTCCTTTGTATGGGGTGTAATAGAGATAATATGATTTAAATATTATATTTAAAGCTATATTTCTTCTGTTTTCTTAAATACATTATGTGTTTTTAAAGCTTCAACTTATTATAACCTCCCCTCAAACATTTGATATTTGAAAGTTACATACATAGGTTACATAAACTACACCCTCTACTTAAACTACGTTAACTACATGTAATGTAGTTTATGTAGTTTTTAAAAGCAACATGTAGTTTTCCGAACCCAGACGCATGAATCCTTGTATGACGTCCTTGTATTCTTCAGTCATTACTTAAAGCCCCGTTCTCAGAACTTCGCAATTGTCGCCAGTGACACTGATTGACATATCAAAGAACCAATGGGAGTTGTACTAAATTTACAATTGACAGCTGTTTGAATTTTGTACAAATCTCATTGGTTCATTTGACGTGTCGCTCGACATTACCGATGTTTTGAGAACGGGGCTTAAGTGCCATTACTTATTAATCTCTGCTTATATCTATTTTTAAGGTCTGATGATGGCTGGAATTGCCGAAACCAGTCACTAATAAGGAACTTTTTGACAGTGGTTTGGATTTTGTTTTTGCTTTTAACATCAAGCTTATATTTGTGTCGGACCGTGCCACACTTTACAACCCGCAATTCCACAGCGTATTTGTCTTCGGTGGAGCGGCGGAATTAAGTAATGCCTACTAGGCATTTATAACCAGGCAATGTCTAGCTATAGCCTGGTTACAAAAGCAAGGTAAGGCGGTCATTTCCGGAGCGAAGAGTCATAGGTTCGGGTCCCAGTAGTACAGAAGTTTTTTTTATTTTTTAAAGGTGTCGAGGTGTAGTGAGAGGTTAGTCTATGTAATAGCAATCAAAATACACCGTATGTAATCAAAAAACAATCTACAGCGTGTTTTGATTGTGCTTCACAACCCAAAATATATATAGCCTTTTCGATAGATCGGTAGGACTGCTAATTCGGTAGATCTACCGAAAAATCGATAGAAGTGGCATCACGGCTCTAATGTTCCCCGGTCAAAGCCAGCGGTGACGTTGTCGCGTAAACTATTCCAATCTTAGCGCTGTTGTCAGATGGTACTTATTATAACAATATTATTGCCCGAATTGAAATCGCCTTGAATATTATTTATAAAAAGAATTAACTAAGACTTTAACTTAAGAGCCATTACTTATTAATACCTGTTTATTACTTTAAATGTAAAAAAAAAATATCTTAATCTTCTTGTCTTCTATGCCAATTTTGTTGAAATTTGGTAGTGATATTTATCAGTAAGGAGCTAATTTAACTTATTTTTCATTTCTTTTATTTAGTAAGGAGCTTAAACTTATTTTTTATTTCCATAATAATAAAATTAGGTTAAAAAATAAATCAAAAAAATCTAATGTACACAAAATATGGATGGGCGGGTTCGAAGTTGCTTTTCGAAAAATATTTTTTTCACATTTTATTTTTAGCGGTAGTATATTTCGACCCCAGAAAGAGCATTATGAGCTTTTTTCGCGAACATTTTTTTTTGAAAATTTGGAATTTTTTGGATTTTTTTTTGATTTTTAGTTAAAAACCTTAAAACCATCATTTCTTGGTAATATGGCAACATAGGTAGTAGATTCAATTTACAAGAAAGAAAACCCAGAAAAGATCCAGTGGTTCTCAAAATTTAAGCCAAAAATCAATATTTTTTGGAAATTTTCAAAGTAAAATAACTCGGTTATTTTGGACTTATTTGAAAAACCGTAAAGAGAAAATATGTTTCTTTTATCGAGATCTACCAGCCCTGAAAATATTTGCACTTATTTAAGACTCACCCTGTCAGGGTCGGACTCGTCACTATTTGTTCGCCTTATGTTTTGTTCAATTTTTCGCTATACAGGGTGCTACAAATTGCAGGGATATTCGAGAGATATGAATATGGTTAAATTGGGGCAAAGTTGTGCTTTAGGATGTTTACCAAGATGCCATCAAAAAGTTGGTTAGTTTTTTGGAAAAAACGGATTTTTTTGAAAATCAATTTTATTTTATCCTGTAGTTAATTTTTAGAAAATCAAAAAAATAATTGCACATTCTTAGCCACTTCATTAGGGCTATCTGTTAGTATTTTTAGATTTTCAAATTCGCTTTATTTAGCACTTTTATTTTTGTGTGCTATTTGACGCAAAAGAAGTTTCTGGTAACGTAACAACGACGTCATCTAGAACACATTTCCCTCGAAGGAATAAAATGCTCACTGGGTAATTTTGCAAGTTTGAAGTACAGCCTTACGCACTGTCAACATTTTGTATCAACAAATATAACAGAAGCTTTTTGACATGAAATCTTTAAACACGGAATGAGGTTTCAAGCAATGACCTCAAAATAAAGTAGACCCAGCATTTCATTCATAGAAAGAAAAAGAGGAATCACACATTCATTTCTTGTTTTATGCGAGTGGGAAAAAGACGGGCTGATCGCATATATGGTATATGGGGGATTTGTGAGGGAATGGCAACGCTGTTCAGAGATCATCAAAATGCGAGCCAGTGGCGTTTCTATTTTTATTATAATATCGCTTCATATTCAATTCGCATAAATACGTTTTTTGGATACGATATATTGTTGTGTATGATGGCTCTTCAAATTGTGAAATATTAACATTGCAATAGCTTAAAATAACTAATCAAAATATTATGATATAACTTCCATAGTAAAGTCTATAAATTGCACCAGTAAGAATATTATTCAAGCATATAATGAATATGAACTCAAGGCGAGTTTAGCAAGTAGGTATATATAGTTTAGCAAAATAGTATATTGGCTACATTAGGAGTAAAAATGATATTTTTTGTGGCTATAGGCTGTACGTTTGACAGTCAACATACAGCCGAGGCACAAAAAGTCATTTTTACTCCGAAAAAAAAACATGCTATTTTTTTTCAAATGTAAATTTTTAAACAATTTCAGACGTTCCAAATAATATAAAAAATATTTAAAAGTAATACTTTGTATTAATTATATATCGAGAAACTATGGTTACGCTTTTTGAATTTGACACTTTATGTCAGTTTAATCAGAGGTTTAATAATATATTTTCGTACTAATGCCTAAAGCCGGGTCCACATATGTAGCATCCTCGTGTATCATATCTCCGTCGCGTTGCACCAACATGTTTCATGATCGCTAGTTTGGACGCCGAATTAACGCGATCATATGGTACACCTTTGTGATACCGTATCTGATACATGCCAATCCGAATTTTGGCGCGTATCTTAACACTGCGTATCGGATACACGTATCACGATCTGTCATTTGGACGTGTTTTGATACAGTATAACGATACAATTGACTTGATACGCCGTGACCCGTCTTGAGGCGGTTTTTCTCCGATCATCAAAGGGGCATTGAGGGTTCGCTGAGAAGAATTGATGAACATGATACGACGATACAAGGTGATTTGCTGTACCGTCCATATACAATGATACGCACGCTTGTACGCTGGTACATATGAATTTTATAAGTATGGACGCTTACTTTGGCACGATATGCATATTCAGTCGACACAGCCCAAATAAACGTCCATCATACTTACGATACAAGCTCTTGATACGTGATACATGATCCTGATACAATAGAGTGCTACATATGTGGACCCGGCTTAACGTAACTTGTATGCCTAATGTAACTTGAAATGTAACTTTTATGTCTAGGCGTTAAAATTACTTTTTTTATACTGGGTGCGTCTCAAAAGTCACAATTTAACACAATTTACAGATCTTATGGGGTGGGGCCTAGGTCCAATGGCCCCCCTCTGTATCCGCCACTGGGCGACAGGCATATGTAGGTTTATACATATAAATAGAAAATTCTGAAAATAGTAAAATGTTATCTTGATAAAATGGTGAAGGTTATTTTAGAAATAAACCGTAAGGTCCTTTAGAGTTTAATATTATGTGATATTATTTTATAAGTAATGAGAGATAGTAAATAATATAAATAATAATTTAAAGCTTGGCTAATTCAAGACTCATGTAAAAAATAAAATATCATCGTAATTACTATTAAACCATCTACAAAAAAGAAAGACAGTTTAAAATTTTAGAAAGATTCTTAAACGATAGCTGTTGTTACACGGTTCAAATTTCTTAAATATAATTATAT